ATAAAAATGTGTCCTGATCAGCAGGACCATTTGTATCTAACAAATCCACCGCTGCATCCCGCCCTGTCTCGTCCACTATCAACACCAATTAAAGTTGATAAATTACAGTTGTACCTCAAGGGATACCCCGCTCGCTCTAAGCAATACCTACTCAACGGCTTTCGTTTTGGTTTTTCTGTTGATTATGTTGGACCTCGTCAGAATTTTTCATCTAAAAATCTTTTATCCGCCATTACCAATCCTAAGGCCATTGACGACAAACTTGACAAAGAGATCCAGCTGGGCAGAATAGTGGGTCCATTTGATACTCGGCTGTTTTCAGTATTTCACATCTCTCCGTTACGATTAATTCCTAAAAAGTTACCCGGGGAATTCCGCCTAATTCATCACTTGTCTTTTCAAGAAGGGCACTTCATCAATTCTCATATTCCAAAAATTGCGTCTNGGGAATCGCACCAAAAAAATTCTAGGCAGCCCTTTCCGTCTGGATTCTGCTGGAAATTTCACCGGGGGGGCAAGTGTTCAGGCTGCAACTTCAAACACGAATCTTTCAAATGTGGGACTCAACATCCCGCGAACCACTGCACGTTTCCCAGCCGACAGCAATCAGATCCGCATAAAAATGTGTCCTGATCAGCAGGACCATTTGTATCTAACAAATCCACCGCTGCATCCCGCCCTGTCTCATCCACTATCAACACCAATTAAAGTTGATAAATTACAGTTGTACCTCAAGGGATACCCCGCTCGCTCTCAGCAATACCTACTCAACGGCTTTCATTTTGGTTTTTCCATTGATTATGTTGGACCTCGGCAGAATTTTTCATCTAAAAATCTTTTATCCGCCATTACCAATCCTAAGGCCGTTGACAACAAACTTGACAAAGAGATCCAGCTGGGCAGAATAGTGGGTCCATTTGATACTCGGCCGTTTTCAGTGTTTCACATCTCTCCGTTACGATTAATTCCTAAAAAGTTACCCGGGGAATTCCGCCTAATTCATCACTTGTCTTTTCAAGAAGGGCACTTCATCAATTCTCATATTCCAAAAATTGCGTCTAGTGTTCATTATGCTAATATCGATGATGCGATTAGGTTAGTTCGGCGCACAGGTAGGGGCTGTGCGCTAGTGAAAACTGATATCAAACATGCTCTTCGATTGATTGCGGTCAGCCCTTCCGATTACAATTTGCTCGGGATTTGCTGGCACGATAAATTTTATGTTGATCGAAACCTCGCCATGGGGCTATCCAGTTCCTGCAAAATATTCGAATGTTTCAGCTCTGCTCTTGAATGGATTGCTCGCTTCAAACTTAATATAGTGGGGATTCTTCACCTTTTAGACGACTTTCTTATCGTCAGCAAATCTCTTTCATCGTGTGCTACTAATTTAAGAGCATTCCTTCAGACATGTGATGACATAGGTGTCCCCATGGCTCCTGAAAAAACAGTAGGTCCTAGCTTTGTTTTACCATTTGCGGGCATTGAATTAGACACACTTAAAATGGAAGCCCGGCTTCCAGAGGAAAAGCTTGAAATGTCGTTCGCTGATGGGACTTTCTCCCAAGAAAGAAGGTTACGTTGACTGAACTACAATCTTTAATTGGTCTCCTTAATTTTACTTGCTCTGTAATTGTACCCGGTAGAAGCTTTTTACGCCGTCTAATTAATTTAACTGTAGAGGTCAAGCGCCCACGCCATTTTATCCGTCTTAATCGTGAAACAAAAGCAGATCTTCGCTTATGGCTTACTTTCCTAGAATCATATAATGGTAAATCTTTCTTTTTGGATTATATTTGGCTTTCGTCCGCTAAACTCCACCTTTATACCGATGCAGCAGGCTCTTTAGGCTATGGCGCCATCTTCGGTGCACATTGGTTTTTCGGCCCCTGGCCTCATAGCTGGCTAGGTAAGAATATTATAGTTCTAGAAATGTTTCCCATTGTTATTAGTGTTTCTATATGGGCTTCAGATCTAGCAAATAAGTGCATTTTGTTTCATACAGACAATCAAGGCCTAGTAGAGGTAATTAATAGAAAAACAACCAAAGATCGACTCAAGATCGTGAGCTCGTCTTGCAATGTTTGAAACATAATATTTTGTTTCGGTCAGTTCACGTGCCTGGGGTGCATAATGTCAAAGCTGATGCTTTATCGCGCTTACAGGTCACGAAATTCAAGTCCGTCGGCCAGGGTGTGGATCATGCGCAAACGCTAGTGCCAGCCCATCTTCTACCACAGAACTGGCTTCTGTAACAAGGCACCTATTATCTGCCAGTTTGTCTAAGGGTTCCAAGGACGCTTACAAACGGTCCTGGTCATTATTTCTCGCTTGGGCTCAGTCCTAGTTAGGTAACTGTAATTTAAGCTTACCGTTACAGCCAGCTGTCTTGGCGTTATTTGTGTCTCACCAATATTCACTGAAATACGCTTCTTCGACCATTACTAGCTACTTATCAGCTATTGGTTATGCTCATAGGTTAGCAGGAGTTAACGATCCTACAGAAACTGTGCTTATTCGACAAAATCTCAAAGGCTACAGTGAGTTAACGCCGGCGCACAATGTGCGTGTTCCTATTACACTACCGATATGGAGACAGATCATTGCGTCATTTCAAAGCAATTTTGTTGAAATTATATATCCCCGCATGAAATACATTTTCATAATGCTAGAGTCACATTTCACCAAACTACAAAACACGATTGGATTTTGTTGCCGCCAAATTTAGTTTCTCCTTCATGTTCAAGCAAATTTGATGTTTTGGAAGAGTAAAGTCTGAAAGCCCATCTATGATTCATTCCACTGAAGTAATCACATTCTGCCGCAAGAAGGATGGAAGTATAAAATGGTAAGACTTTTTAACACCTCACCTCGCAATGTGCCGTTCACTATTATCAGCGCATCATGTTCACTTTTTGGGTCATGCAGTCATACATTAGCTTTCGACACATTTTATCGAACAAAGCACTCTGTGACCTTTTTCCATCGCTCAAAGCTTATGAAACATTTTCGAATTCGAATTCGAGTTAATACATCCTCGGAGACCCAGGGGCAGCGAGTCGGGACCATGCGATATTTTCGGGCGATATTTTTTGTTTTTGATGAACGCAGTGGTTTGAGTCTGTTTTGAATTTGTTGAGAATTATGTATGACAAGTATATGTTATAGTGCCTATTGGCCAGTAACGTATGTCCGCCAAGAGACTGGGTTTAAAATTAACGACCACGGGACTGCAGGACTGCGGGAGCATGCTTCCTAAGTATTTCTCTTTTGTTTCCTTATGCAAATATTTATCGACTGCGGGACTAGGGGAGCAGAACATTAATGTCACGATATTGTGGCCGAGTATTCTGAAGTTTATCCTTAGCCTGAAAATTCTAGAGCCAGCCTCAAGAGTCCTCATGGACCTGATGACGATAAGTGAGTGTGAGGGAAAATTCTAGATACCACCAGCCAGATAAGTAGATTTATTCATCTGACATTATCTCCTAAGAAATCTGCTACTCAGCCTCCTTCGCCCACACATTAGGAATCCCCACAATTGGTTTAGAATTAGACCCTACTCGTGCCAAGTAACCTGTCAGATCCCAACTCTTCATGAAAATGCCCCATCCACTAGTCAAGCAGCCTCTGAGGAAACTGTTAATAATTTGCAGAATTCTCAATCACCCTTGAACACACAGTCACCGCCTCTGGCTTTTCAATTGAATACTAACCACAGTAGCTGCCTTCCCAATTTAAATTTACTTACCTCCTCTTACAATCCTCACAACTGGTCCACATTCTGGGATTCATTCAAACCAGCTATTCATTCTAACACTACGCTGGGGGGAGTGCAGAAGTTTAGTTACCTGAAGGCTCAACTAACAGGGGACGCATCAAGAGCTATAGCTGGTTTCCCACTAAGCAACGCCAATTATGAACAGACTGTAAAACTTCTTAAGGAACGTTTTGGGCAACCCAGTAAGATAATAAGTGCCCACATGCAAGCTCTCCTGGAAATCGCTACCCCAGCCAATCAGTTAACAAGGTTGCAACTGTCTTATGATACTATGGAGAATCGCTTGGAAGATCACACGAAAGCTATGGGGATCTCCTTGTCCCAATTATCCTGGGAAAATTACCCCATGAGTTGAGAAAGAACTTAGCTCGTGAACTTGACAACCCTGAATGGAAATTCCAGGAGTTGAGAGAACCTATTGTAAAGGAAATTCAAATCCTTGAAGCAGGTGCCCAACTTAATGACACCCCCTATAGAGTCACCCCTACAATTACTGGTTCTTTCCTCACTCAAACACAAGAAAAACAGCTTTATTCCGGGAAATCTAGCAAGCCAGAATCTAAAAAATGTCTGTACTGCAAGGGTCCCCACCCCTCCTACAGTTGTCAAGTAGTCACTGATGCTCAGGAGAGATGGGCAAGGGTTAAGACTCTCGGACATTGTTTCAACTGTTTGGGGAAGCACAAGTCTTCTGTGTGTCAGTCAAAATTCCGCTGCCATAAATGAAAAGGGAAACATGACACAAGTCTTTGCTTGGGCCCCACTGATCCTGCCAACAGCCCTCAGACCACAAATGATACTGCTGCTCCCACTCACAGTCCTCACACTTCTATGGGAGAAACACCCTACCGAGTACATGCTTCTCTTGCACGGATCAATCAAACAAAGGCCCCAGTCAACAGTGGCCAAATCTCACTCTTGAAAACCGCTGTAGCAACTGTTGGCCATAGCCATACTCACTCTGAAGCTAACATCCTTTTCGACGAGGGTGCACAGCACTCCTTTAACTCCCAGACTAAACTCTCTACTCCATAAATATTTCTCTTTCAGCTCATCGTAAGTCATAACTTTGGTTTCTTCGTTCCGTCCATAACAGCCACGAGACTCCAAACACTGAATACCAGCATCTTTCCGTTTGCCGAAACGGCAGCCGGCCTGCACCTCAGCATTTTGCTTTCGATTTACTGTGTACATCACCTTAATATTAGCAAGAATTCACTATGCTGGAGTATCCTGAATAACCTTTAATGTCAACACATATTACTTTGAGAAATTATAAAATATGGTCTTTACGCTTACGGATTGTTTCGCTAACTGCAAGTTCGCTATTACATCAATGCTTCCGTTTGATGAACTGCACAGGCAATTAAACAACAAACATATCTTCGAGAAAGAATTTCTAACTGCCGGGTAAGTATTTTCTGAAAATTCGTGCCCGTGAGTCAGACAAAGTTTGTACCATTTGTGCATAACAAAAACATTGTAAAAACTCACTTGGTGTTTCCAACCAAAGATTTAAATGCTGAAATACTCTTGGGAGGTTTCAATAATCACTTTGTACATATTGAATGAATTGAACTCCAGCTAATCTTTCTTCCCTAGGTCATCAACTCCATAGTTAGCACATCAGTTGAAGATCATCATTCACAACCTCGACAAACCCAAGTAAAATCGTCCTTGCTGTTATTTCCAGGAACTGTAGTTCTCTACAGAGGGTTTAGACAAGCTGCCCCACAAGAGCTCCGCAACATAATGGTTGCCAAATTTAAAGCAGTCGCTGAAGCCCTTGTACCAAACTATGGCAGTGCTGTGTCCATACGGTTCAGAAGATAGTCCAAGGACAGTGTCATGTTCATCAAGTGCAGACCAAATGCAATCCAACACTTTGACACTGAAATGTGCTCATTAGAGCAGTATACATTAAAGTACGATTGCCCGCACCATCCTACTGTAACTGAAAACATAAAGACTACTTTAGTAATACAAGGACACCTTCCAACAGGAGATTTTAGTTAAAATGATCGCATTTCATCTGAATAGCGAACTGTTTTTTACCATTCAAGTTTTCACTGTCTTCTTCCCACGAGATCTGTTACATTAATAGTTTATTCTATAATTGACTGCCCATCGACACATGTCAATATTTTACAATTTTGCTACAGAGTACAAACATCGTACTATTAGAAGTCTATCAGATTGTAATAAACATATTTGTGGCTGTACTGAAAACTTGAATTCATTTCTATCTGCCTACTGCAAAACTTGAAGCCAGTGACTAAGCTGACTTCTTCCCTTCCATCTATTACTCACTACACACTGCGTACTGCATAGCCAGCATGTTTTGCACGAACACGAAGTTATCTTAAGTCCTTGCAGGATTATGTAAGGTTCTAGGGACATACCTCTGTAAAAGGGATCCCGCGGTTCGAATCTCGCAGAGAGAATGTTATTTCATTAAGAGACGCTAAGTTCATACAGAGAAAGAATCATAACTTAAACACAAGGTTTACGGACGGGAAAGGATTACAAGAATTGTAGGTAGAATTATAACATATTTTCAGTTTCTATTAGTTCAAGGTCAATTACGACAATTACAGCACAGAACCTCAAAGTAATTGTAATTTGTTTCTTTCAGTTTGACTACATACTTCTAGATAGGAGTGTAAAAAATAATCCTCATAATTCCCAGCTGTTGTGGTCTGATTCAAGTGCAAACCACAGCAACCAACACAACTTCCTCTCTTCACTATATCACTCACTGCGTACCACATACCATGTAGCCAGCAACTAAGATAACTTTCTCTCGTATATCTTACCCATTGCATACCGCGTAGCCAGCTACTAAGACAACTTCCTCTCTTATATATGTCACTCACTGCGTACCACGTAGCCAGCTACTAAGACAACTTCCTCTCTTGTATATGTTACTCACTGTGGGTGAGGTGCGATATTGCAGAATATCATAATATCAGAATATCATCACTTTTGATATATCAAAAATTTTGTCATACTTCCAGCTGTTGTGGTCTGATTCCAGTGCAAACCACAGCAACTAACACAACTTCCTGTCTTCACTATATCACTCACTGCGTACCACATACCATGTAGCCAGCAACGAAGATAACTTTCTCTCATATATCTTACTCACTGGACCACAGTAACTTTCGTCACAGTTCTTTGTGAAACAATGGGCTAACCCTTTTACTGCTGACCATTTGCCCTTTGGCTCAGACTTAGGAGGTACCATGTGCTATCGACAAAAATGGCGGACAAAAGTGAGCAATCATCGAGCAGCAATTCCCGTAAGAGAAAACGAAATCCTGAAGAATGGAAGAAAAACAAACGGAGTCGTCGTAACAGAGGTAAGGAATATGAAACAGTATCAAAGTCAGGCGAGAAACGTACATTTGCAGCAAAACAACTGGGTAGACTGTCGCTGCCAACTGAAGTGCTTTGAAAGAGTGACACAAGAACGGCGTGAAAATGTTTTTGAAGGTTTTTGGGAGCTTGGAGATTGGACTGCACAGAATGCCTTCTTATGTGGAAGTGTGAAAGTCACGTCTGTAAAGCGAAGGTATGCAAAGAAAGGCGAGACTTCTTTGCACTCACAAAGAAATTATTATTGTCAATATTACGTAAACCACAATGGAATGTCTATTCGGGTATGCAAAAAGGCTTTCTTGGCCATTTATGCTATAGCTAATGGCAGGCCTCCTCATGCTCCATCGAAAATGCAAAGTGTGGGATCGCCACAAACAGATCAAAGGGGTAGACATGAGCCTAAAAACAAAACCCCTGTTCAGTTTGTGCGAGCTCACATTCAAAGCCTCCTAACTGAGTCAAGTCATTATTGTGGTAAAGATAATCCCAACCGAAGATATCTTTCATCAGATCTCACCATAA